GGTTTGCCGATAATGGTGAGCGATTGGGGACCAAACGGTGCTGTTTGGTGTTGTGACGTATCAAGTTAGCTCGTATAGTTTTTATCTTTATAGATAAGAATTTAATCTCGATCTTGGCCTTTTGTTATTTCAGTGGAGTCTGGTATTTTTATAGCGAGATTGATGCATTGATGTTCAGGGGATTCTACGCGACTTATAAGTTATAACTGGAGGCGCGGATCAGACGGCGAAGCTATGGAATGTTCAGACTGGGACTCAACTTTACACATTCAACTTTGATTCTCCAACTATATCTGTGGATTTTTCTATTGGTGATAAGCTTGTGGTTATCACTACCGATCCGTTCATGGAACTTCGGCCATTCATGTGAATCATATCGCGAGAGACCCTAGTGACCGTATGTTCCTTCTAGACCTGTTCATGGGCCGGGTCGGGCCGGGCTTTCACTTGTCACTAATGAACATATACTAGGCCCGAGCCCGAGCCCGGCCCGACCAACGGGCCTATAACTTGGGCCTGAGCCTGGCCCTGGTAAAAAGACCGAAGCCCGAGCCCGAGCCCGAAGCCCGACCAAATTGAAAAAAAAAACAATTTTCCCTATTCAAATTAGAATTAAAATTTCAGATAAGTATTTTTTTTCTATTTAAATGAACAATGGACCTACAAGATGGTATATTTCCCTTTCTTTTATATTTTAAAACACAATTTTACATTCTTAAATCAAAAAAAATTATTCAAATGGATATAATCACATAAATAATTTTAAGTTTAATATTAGGTTGGGTCGGGCCGAGCTCGGGCCAGGCTATTTTGACAAAACCCGAGCCCGGCTCGAATTTATTGCGGGCCAGGCTTTTTGGCCCGAATTAAGCCCGCGGGCCTATAAAAATGTCCAAGCCCGTCCGAGGGTCGGGCCACCCGGCCCATGAACAGGTCTAGTTCCTTCTATATTCCATTAGGTCTTTTTAATTGTGAGTTTTGACTAAGGTTATCTTGTTTCTTCTTTGGCTTTTGATTTAGTTAATTATATTACATTATTCACATCTATGCATTTATGAGGCGTTTGGGAAACACCTATAGTGAAGTGATTACATTGTCGATTTCAGATGCGCTTGTGAATGCTTGTGGATTATATTATTCACAGTGTAGGCTCACAGTCGAAATCCTAATGAATTTGTCATGAACATAGACCTTCAACTCAAAAATTCATGAGCTAGCTCATAAGATTTCCAATGATTTATTCAGTAATATTCCCACAGGAGTAAAGCATAATTGTAATAATTAGTTTAGTTTTTACCTTGTAAGGTTTGCACAGAACAGCCCCTTTTTAAATATAAGCATTTTCTTGTTTTTTTTTTGTAGATTCTTTTATGTTTCTTGCCTTTGTATGCTTGATCAACTTCTAATTTTCCAAATTGCTTTTTATTGTTGTTTGTACACTAATAATTGATGCAGCACCACCTGTTAGATGAAAATAGGAAGAAGGGAAGAAGAAGAGAGGGGAGAAAAGACAAGTCAAAGAAGAATCATCTGTATTTATCCGAAACATAACATAATACAACCCAAAATATATTGTGACTTTATAAGAAACCTAGAAACTGAAAAGAAGTCTCCTTAGGAGAGGTAAGGGAATGATATTGCTCCATTAGATCTCGGTCTAGGTGACAACGCTCCTCTTTTGAAATCCAAGTAGCATTGGTGTCAGTATAACATTTCCATTTCACAAGATAACATTGACAACCACTTATTTTGGAAGTGATAATTTCATCTTGGAGAATACTCTCGACCTGGTTGGCATGGGTGCTGAAGGTGAAGTATTTTGGTTGTGGGCAGACTTGCAGGTAGAATAAGAGGCTCAAAGGTGCCTTGATAAGGAAGCAAATCCTCCAAATTGAAAGTTGAGCTAATTCTCATGTTCGAACGTAAGTTTATTCGCATTAGGTCCTATTTTTCAAATGATGCAAAATGGGCTATTGGCTTGAGTATATAACTTTTTAAAGGGGTGCTTTGGGTAACACTCATGACACACAGGAATACTGCCATTGAATTCTTGATTTCTATGATGTGCATTTGCAGCAAGTCTATAATTCTCATTACTTGAGCAATTTTTCAAAGGTGGGAATTTGATGTACATCAGGAACATGAAGTTGGTGATACAACTTTTTGAACAAATGTCCAACCTAAAGGTGAATTTTGAAAAACGTTGTGTAATGGGTGTGAATTTGGAGGGTGAGATCAGGGAAAGTGCTGGAATATTGGGTTGTGAAGTTTCAGGTTGGCCATTGAATTACCTAGGGATGCGTTTGGGTAATAAACCAAAGGAGAGTTTCTGGAACCTGGTGGTGGAAAGATTTGAAAAGATACTTGCCTATTGGAAGAAGAATTATCTTTCCCTTGGCGGGAGGATTACACTGATTAAGGGTACTTTAGCTAATTTACCCATTTATTTCCTTTCAATATTCAAAATTCCAGTAAAGGTATCTAACAGATTGGAGAAGATGTTGAGAGGTTTCCTAAGGGAGCCGAGAGAGGATAAAAGGGACCATAGGGTGAGTTGGGAGGTGGTGACAAGAAGCAAAAATCTAGGTGGCTTGGGGCTTGGGGCTTGGGAACATCAGGAAAAGGAATGTGGCTCTTTTGGGGAAATGGCTGTGAAGACTCCTAACAAAAAAGGAGACACTATGGGCTAAAGTAGTGGTAAGCATACATGGGATGGAGCAAAATGGATGGAATGTTGGGATCCGAGCTAGGACCACAAGTGTGTCACCTTGGAAAGCCATTCATGATCTACTTCCAACTTTCACCCTTCTCATCTGGTATGATCTGAACTCAGGTAACTCCATAAAATTCTAGGAACTTGGGTGGGGAATGCCCCTCTTAAGGGCGCGTTTCCTTCTTTGTATGCCCTTTCTGAATTAAAAAAATGAGCCAGTTACTTCCTTCATTACCCCTTCATCTTCCTCTTCTGGATTTAGGTGGAATTTGGGTTTGAGAAGGGTTGTGAGAGATACAGACTTGGAAAGTATCTCGATCCTCCTTAGTATTCTTGATAATGTTTTCTTGGACCCTACTAACTTGGATTCTAGAATTTGGACCCCCATCCCCACTGGCTCATTTTCTTGTGCCTCTTTTTTCAAAGTCTTATGTCAGCCCCCTAGTCTTATTGGCTCTCCCTTCCCGTTTAATGAGGTTTGGTGTAGACCAATTCCCCCCTAGAGTTGATAGTTTTTTCTAGGAAGCTTTTCTGGAAAAAATCAATACCGGTGATTTGTTCCAAAAGAAGAGACCCAAGACATGTTTATCCCCTCATAGGTGTGTTCTCTGTAAAGCGGATGGGGAGACCGGTTTTCACCTATTAGCGACTTGCCAGTTTGTTAAGTCCATTTGGGTGTGGGCATTATCCCTCTTTGGGTGTAGATGGAATCCTCCATCAAACTTGCAAAGCCCTTTTTCTCCTTCCTTCTTCAGGTGTCGAATGAAAAGGGGAAGGACCATGTGGAGATGTTAGTATGTTGGGCTCTGTGGGAGGAAAGAAATTCCAAGATCCTCTCTAAAGTAGAAAGAAGCAATGAAGAACAATGGATGACTTGTTGAGGAAGTGGGGTGAGATTGCTAATTGCACCCAGACCAAAACAGTCTTGAGTGTGTCTTGGACTCCCCCATCGGCCATTTTTTTAAAACTAAACTTTGATGGGAGTAGTTGGGGGAATCCTGGACAATCGGGGATTGGAGGTATGTTTAAGGATGAGAATGGGTTTGTTTCAGCCATGTTTTCAGGCCCAATTGGAGTGGATGACTCTCTCAGGGCTGAGATCTTTGCAGTTTTGGAAGGAGTTCAAAGAGCTAAGGAGATGAATATAAGAAGCTCATCATTGAAGGGGACTCGGAGGTGGTGGTAGGGTGGCTGAATAAAGAAAATAGCAGATTATGGATGTACAGTAATGAGAGGAGGAAATTTAGGTGGCTGGTTCAAGAGATGGAAGTTAAGATCAGCTGGGTGAAAAGATCAACTAACTCTTTTGCTGATGGGTTAGCTAAGCAAGGAGTTGAGATGGAGTCAATGTTTTGGGCACGTGTAATTTTTTCCTTTTTCTGTTCTTGGGATCTTAAGCTCCAGTTGGAAGATAAGAAAGTTTATCTTCCTCCTTGTAATTACTTTTGTGATTAATTAATGAAATGTTGTTATTGATAAAAAAAAATATCTTAGCAACTATAGAAGGGTATAATTTTTAGTATAAGATATTTAGAGAGGGAAAGAAGAGCAATTAAAGAAAAACAAAGGGGTAAAGACCCCACACCTGTTCAATTTAGTGAAACAAAGAGAGAATAATTGCAAGAAAAAGAAAATGAAGCCCTCCCATTCATCCTTCTCTTTCTAAAACCCTTGGCTCCTTTGTCGAAAAACCCTAAAACAAAACAGAAGTAATAAATATAGTACATGATAGAATGCATCAACACGCAAATTAATATGATGTAATAATAGTAATAATATCATAATAAGCTGTTCACTTTTTATTTTTCCACCTAAGCAACAGGCAGCATGTCACCTAGATAGACCTCTTTTTCATATAATATGAAATTCATGCTAGGCAGCTCTCAAGGGCATGTTGTTGCCTAAACAATGCCTTGACAATTTTTTTATCAGTGACAATGCCTTGACAATTATTTGATGTATCTAGGGATGAAGTAGACTCCATCCCCCCAACTCACCCCCACGAAAGGAAATCCTAAGAGGAAGAATTTGAAGGTCGATCAACAGCTGAGTGCAAGAATGAAGACCACGAGTGACGGGATAATCAATGCCCAAAATTTTATTCTCTAATCTAAGACTAAGGAAAAGGATCAACCCCAATCAAAAAAAAAAAAAAGAAAAAGAGAAAAAAAAAATTGCAATACTGCAAGGAACAATGTAGAAAAATGTGCCGAACATTTCCGAAGAAAAATACTGATAGTGAGTACTGATCATAGAAATGTGTCATCTGGGCCACGTGCTTAAAAAATTTGAAGAATGCATACTTCGAACCAGTGAACTCAATCATTAGATGTTTGCCCAACACAAGAATGGAATGCTAGAGCACAGTAATACAGGAAGACACTAACCAGAGATATCTGAAAAGCCTGTAACATGGTTGCTGGTTCTCTAGGAACATGATGATTGTTCATTATGTATTCAAGAAATCTTGCAGCCATTCCTTTGACATCCTCCTGCATTTAAAGCCAAAAAGATTAAAAAAATACTATTCCACCTACCAGAAAAAGTATTAATATTTCATCTCCAAGATCCCGCATTTCATCAAAGTCTCAGGGAAGACATAGACACATAAACAAAACAACTGCATGCCAGAAAAACAAAAAACAAAAGAAAAGAAACAACAACAAAGGTGCATTTGTTTCAATAGAAGGAGGGTGCAGAAGATTTTAGAGCAAAACAAATCACTCATGTTTTCAGCCACATTATGATAAAGACCATATTTTCAACTTTACATTGAAACAAATCCAGCCTACAAGTAAATGGAATGCATGAAGCAATAATGTAGTTGAGGCAAACCCCAAAACATGGTATAAATCAATGACAAGGAAAACAACTGATAGAGCTACCTTAAGAAGTCTATCTAGTCAATCAATGGTGCTCTAATACCATGTAGAATTGTAGATATGCAGAAATATTCTGTACTTAGAGGAGAAAAACTCTATGCTCACTTGCTCAGGGTGTAGAAAATCTAAAATCGATCTAGTCAATCAATGGTGCTCTGATTCCATGTGATCAACTTAGAATAGATTTCAGAAATAAAGAAAATAGTAGGGAAACAGACATCAAACGAGAATAGATTGAAAGAGGAAGAAATAACAGAAAAGAGAAGAATCTTTCATCTTTTTTAGTTTGTCAAGCATATTGTATGTTTGAAAGTAAGATATCTGATTGGTGGCGCATGGCACTTGATGATTAAAACTTCATGCTGAAGAGATGGCATCAGTAGGAGTGACTGAAGGATATTAGCAAATTGTGGGAGAGATTGGTTTGGTTGAAAGCATGTCTCGTAGGAAGGTTCATCAATACAGATCCTCAAGACATTGATGTCCTATAAGGGGCAACAAGAGAGTGGAGGATGAAGGAATTGGGAGTTAGAAGGCTAAGTGGAGGACTGTTTCTTTTCATGTTTCAAATAAATCACATGCAGATAATGTGCTGATGAACAAAGAAGATAAATCGCAGCAGAAGCCTAACTAGGGGTTGGGAGATGGATTGATAGAAGGTTTGCTTAGATTAATGTGTTTGGTATATCATTACATGTGCTGTACTCAAACCTTCATAACCATTGAAAATATATGTGGTTAATTCAAGAGATTTTATGCATGTAATAGGACCTGGAAGCAGCTTCAGTTTGCAAGGTTGTTGACTGAAGTGGAAGATGTGTCAGAGTACATATGAGCAAGAGAAGAAAGAAAAGAGAGAACTGTACAGGTGTGTCAAAATGATTCCCCACACCCAGAAAAAATATCTATATTAAAAGGTAAAAGGACCATTTTGACCTCAAGATACAAATAGTGTACAACGAGTATACAAGGAAAAAGACAAAACTAGTCCTCTTTGTCTCTACAACCAATGTCTCTATACTCCCCCTCAAACTGATGCCAAGGAATGAGTTTGTCCATAAGAAAGGTGTGCTGGGACTGTATCATAGACATGGTAAGCAAACCTGCTAGTAGCCCAGATGAGATGTGAGGAAGGGAAATTTGACCTACAAGGAGATCTCTGATAAAATGACAATCCATTTGAATATGATTAGCCCGCTCATGGAAAACAAGGTTGGATGCAATCTTGATAGCACTGAGATTGTCTGAAAAGAGAGGAACTAGAAATGCGAGATCAATATGAAGGTCATGGAGGAATGACTTGAGCCATACAATCTCACTACAAACCAAGGACATGGCTCTATACTCAGCTTCAATTGAAGATTTACAAACTATAGATTGCTTCTTACATTTCCAAGAAATAAGAAAGTCACCCCAGAAGATAGAACAACCCGTAGTAGACTGCCCCAAGTGTCTAGACAAGCAGCCCAATTAGCATCAGCATAGGCAAAAAGCTGAATTAAGTATAAATGCGAAGTATAGGGCACTGGCTCATGGATTTCAAAATTATTGTGGTTGCACACCATCCCAACTGAATTGTGTATCAACCATTATATCCCCATCAAACTATATTGTAAAAAAACAAGGTGCCATGGACATTGCCAACAATCCAATCTGACATGACTGTAATAAACACATTGAGATTGAATGATTGATAGACACTTCATTCAAGAGAAGGTTACAAGTGGAGAAATTGATCCTCCTTTTAATCAAGACTGAAGAGCAGCTAGCCAATTGCTTAACAAAAAGTGTTCTAGTAATGAATTTTTTTACCATAAAAAAAGATCGCTAAAGCAATGAAAGAAATCCACAATGAGGATATATATACATGCTAATTAAGAACTTATTTTTTAATTTCTTTCCTTTTTTTTGAATGGGGGTGGGAGCTAGTGTTTATATTGTTCAGAGTGCAAGAAAGAAAAGCAATCTAATCAACAATAACAAATTAAAATAGAAAGATAACTACTAAAAGAAAAAATTAATTAAAATGTTATCAAGAAAAGAAGATAATTATATGGTTTTTTATCCAAGATGCATACTGGAAGGTGAAGGATTTCACAAAGTTTTGAAATCTCTGGCTTCAATAAGAGGTGAAGACTCTTCTGTGAATCTCGTAATATTCTTCCTTCATCAGATTCAGAGGGCTGAACTTCAGGCACTTTTGTGGTATCATTAGCTATTTTGAAGAGATCATGCATTATGTGACTTGTTCTATTCATATTAATTGCTGACTGTTGAAACACTTGAGATCCAGAACCACATTGAATTGTGGTCATTTTTATAGGGAAAACAAAAGATGCCATCAGTTTGTAAAATAGAAACTTAAGCGAATCAAAGATTAGCAGGAAAGCTAAATCAATCAACTGTCCCTTCATTCCACAGCCAATAAACTAGAAAAAGTTTCAGAACAAAATAATGGACGATCCATAATTATGAAATACCAGCACAGACCAAAGTTTTACCTTACTTCCCCACAGGAGTTTCTTTTCTCTTATCTTCTACCCAAGGCCTGAGCAAGATTGGATCAATCATGTTGTTGACTACCTTCTTGCGCTTCTTTATAAGTTCATCACTTTCAACTTCAGCTTTTTTCGGTGATTCCTCAAAATATTGAACTTTTTTCCGAATTCTCCGAGTAGACCAAGAGGAGTATCTCCGCTGAGGTTCCTTTCGCTCCAGTATCTTTGCCCAAAATACATGTGGGATTTCATCAAACAACTGCCTTTCTGACTCCAGGTAAAGTATTATCTACAGAATAGGTTGTTCTACTCTGCTAAACTTTTGCAATGATAGAGCAGTTTCATGTTTCGTTGTCTTCATTATCACAAGGTAACAGCTTCAGCAGTTCCCCAGCCACATCATTCATGATTGACTGCTCAAAAGAAACATTTGACTCTGATGCTAGTGTTGTACAACCATGAAATTCATCCAATTTCTTGAACAAATAGGATGCACCCCAAATGAACAGCATATGACTAGTACTATGGTTTATATTCTGCACATTGATATCAAGAGTCATATCTTGCATTCTTGCTTTGACAGAATTAGAACTTTTCTTCCAAAGTGCAACATGAATATAAACGGAATACTTTTAACTGTTCAAACTGTGAATCAATTGAGATCCTTTGTAGGGCTCTTAAATCATTTAATGGATTCCAATCGCTACCAAATAAAATAACAGTATCAACAGAACAAAGTTTAATGCTTGGATGACAAGCACGATTTTCTAGTAAGAAAATGAATCTCCCCTGTTCCTTGTTAAATATATTTAAGGCAGCTTGCTTTTTTGAACTGAGCAATCCAATATCAACACGTTCATAAGAGTCTGCACCAAATCTATGGCGCAGGAAAAATATCTCCAATAGAATTCCGTCCAGATCCACCAATTGACTGCCATATGAAAAGCATCCAAGTGAGAACGAAGTCATACCAACAAATATTTGTTTGCCTTCAGTATAACCACTCTAGTAAGCATTATGAGAAACAAATGAATATAAAGAAAAAAATATATATATAGAGCAAAATTCATCAGTGCTACACACTATAAATTCATTAACCAGTTCAATCAAACTTTAACTGTAGCACAGAAATAGAATAAATTCTAAAATAAGAATGTATATAAATCATGCACCTGAAGAGGTTGTAGCTTCCCACTTGCCTTCACACCAACGTCTAAGTACTCTATCTCTGGAAGACCTCTTGTGAGAAAAGTTTGCAAAGACTGATCTACAAGATAGGGATGATCACAGCACTGCAAAAAGATCAACATAAGCAATATCAACTAGAAAGAAAGAGGAAATCTACCAAACAAAAGTAGCCATAAACAAATGCATAACAAAAAATGATAAACAAATAATCATAAAAAATCATACAAATAGAGAAAGCTGACTAGGGAAAATCCAAAAATTGATCAATGGTGCACATCCCTTGTGAAAAAAAAGGGATGTGCTTGACTTTTTCATGAAAAATCATACAAATACAGAAGGTGCTCCTATTAAAAGTACACAGGTGCATAGTAGTGCTTGACTTTTTCAAAGCATAATGTGTCGTTTCTTCACTAGGATTGTGCCCCCTTTTTCAAAAACGGGATGTGCTTTAATCACAAATGAACACAAAAATGTTAAACATTCAGCTAAAACAAAGTAAACAAGCCCATTCTAATGCAATGACATTAAATTTGTCCTAACATTCCTGACAGAAATAACAATCTCACAAAGGGCACCAACAGGATCACTTTTTGAATTTGAACGAAGTGACATGGAGTTTGCGAGAAGAGTAGCACAGTACAGCTCAAGCTGCACATTGGAAAGGTGTACAGGAACCCAATATTCTATAAACTTAGAGGAGTTGGACTTATGCTCAAATGCAACAAACTGCGCAAATCGCTTCTTCAGTTTACTCGTGCTGTCAATGGAGTCAGTTTTCAAACCATCACTGTTGATCTCCCCGCTTGCAGGATCAAGGAATGAGAGCAGATTGAGATACTCAGCTATACTATCCTGGAGAAGGTCAGAGGAAGTTAATAATCTGACATGCAATCACTGTTGTAAAGACATCACCTGGCTGCTGACCAGGTCAAGATATGCTCTGGGAATCACCTCAAGTAGACACTTGATATGGTATAATTTCCCATACACCTACACCTTGGCAACAAGGCACCTGTCTGGGCAGGGCATGCAACATGACAAGGCAGGTGCCTTATGTTAATGCTATGAAATTTAAGATTATGGGTGTTGATACACCATATGGTCCATATTAAATAGTGCACAAATTGAGTCATTATAGCTAATGGTGTGCTGCGCAACTTAATATTATAGATGCTATATGAAAGGGCATACAAAGTCACCGATACATAAGATCAAGTGTTTACAATAAAAGAAATCCATTGAACCACCACAATTTTGAACTCTAAAGAAGGAATTGTTGCAACACTTCTCTTTTCTGCTTTATGCTTCTTCCTCTCCTCCTTATTCTAATGACAGTGTTAGGTAACTGCCTAACTCAGGGACTTTTCGAGGAAGCCTGCCTCCTGAACGAGAGAGAGAGAAAAAGAAAGAGAGAGAGAGAGAGAGAGAGATTGAATTCCCAAAATCAACGATTCCTCTTCTGGCTTCCTTTCCTTATTTATAACAATTCTGTTATATCAGCCTCTCCACTTGTCCAGTTTGTTATTTAGTTTGTTCTAGTGGTTGGCTGTTAGTTACATTACTTAAAGGCTGACGTGGCCTTTTCTTGTACACTTGTCTCTCTATTCCCTTTATTTGTGTCTCAACAGTCCCTCCTCCCTTGAAAGCGACCTTGCCCTCAAGGTCAAGATGTGGAAATCTATTCTGTAAGTCCAAGTAAGGTTCCCAAGTTGCATCTTCAAGTGGGAGACCTGACTATACCACCAATGCCTCTGGTTCGATGTGATTCCCTTTGTGTATCCACCTGAAATCTGTTATCTGGGTGGGCTCAGTTTGAACTTGGCCATCTTCCGAGAATGATGGGAGGGTGGTTGTTGTTATTGCTTCTGTTTTTGGCAATTTTTTTAATAGAGATACATGGAATACAGGGTGCAATTTTGATGTTGCTGGAAGGTCAAGTTTGTTCCACAATCCGAAATGTGTTCCAATGTGTTCCACAATCCGAAATGGGCTGAAGTACCTTGGGCTCAGTTTGTTCCACCTGTGGCCTGCTACTGAAACTTGCTTGTATGGTTGTAGTTTAAGGAAGACTTGCTCCCCAATCTGGT